CAATTCGGGTTGCAACCAGAGTCGCGGAACAAATTAAGTTCGTGAACCGAGGTACCACTGTACTTAAGATGAAAGCTAAACTTTATGTTCTCTGAGTCAGGCTTGGCTGAACAAGTAATTCACTTTAAAGTGAAAGAAATCCATCTCTGTGTCTTGTTAATTAGTGTGATAGACAGACACATTTTTTTTTCCAAAAAATTCTCTTAACTTATAAAAAAATAAGTAAATTGCATATGCCAGAACAGGTTGGTTGTGCGGTCCTACAATGATACGCTTTTACTTTATAATTAAGTCCATCCTGATGGTTGGAAAATATTATTATAATGAAAATAGATGGGGAGATTATTTGTTCATCCTGCTATTTATAAACAAGACTGTGTTCTGTATCCCTTAATTTTAAGGTAACAGAGTTACACAACATCAAAAATATAACCAGACTGCCTCGAGAAACCAAGAAGCATGCCGTAGCAATTATCTTTCATGATAAGACGTCAAAGACATTTGCCTGTGAGTCAGGTAAGCAGTTCTTACCATATCTTTAGCTTGAGTCAATTTTGCTGTTTATGAAACAGTGCTTCATATGGATTAAGATAGAGCATTCATCTTAATGGGAATGTGCCATAACTGTTTGTTTCTTTGCATGATGGGTGGGTATATCTCCCCGCTTTCAATATTTTTAAAAAGTTTCTGTTCTTGTTTATTATTTATCACTTTCTAAGTTTGTCCCCCAGTTAGATAGAAGGTTCTTGAAGTTTTTAAGGAAACTTTTAGAGCTGAATAAACAGCACCTCAGGGAAGTTATAAGAGAAGCAGTGACGTGCATTTTTGTTGGCTGCCAATCCTTTTATAGGCACATGCTGGAATACTAAAAAATCCCGTGCTTGTAAGAGGACAACAAAGAACTGTTCAGATTCCAGGATAAGTTCACATTCAGTTTCATATCATTTGTGGCTACAGGTACTCTAGTTACCCAATATTACAAATAAAGTCTTATGGTTCATAAGGAAAAAAATTAAATATTTCTCCTGTTGGAAGAAAAAGTTATCTTACCAAGTCCGTTTCTGAGCCGGGAGTAAAGACACTG